CCCGCCCCCCCCCCCCCCCCCCCCCCAGGCAGCCCCAACCCCCTGTGAGCTGTTCTGAGCTGTTGCCCACCCCTGGCCATGCCTCCCCATCACTGCACGCTGTGCCACAGGACCACAGCAATCCCCACGTGCTCAGGGCTGCAAGGCTGCATTGCTGTGCTCTCTGCCCTGTGAGCACCCAGAGGCTCAACAGCCCCCAAGGAGACCCAGCCCATCTCCCTGCTCCTCTGGGAAAGGCAGAATGAAACCTTCTGGCCGTGCATTGCTCAGCCCTGGCATTGCTCCGCGCTGCAGCCGTCCGTTCTGCTCTCAGCTCCCGGCTCTCAGCTTGCATTGCTCTGCACGGGGCGTCTCAAAGGTGCACAAAAGCACAGCGGGCACAAAGCTGTGCTCCTGCCAAAGGGTTGCTGCGTGCACTGCAGGGAACGGCCTGTTTGCTCCGTGGGAACTGGTCGGTCCTGTCCCCATTCACTCCCCCCCCCCCCGCCCCTGCAGCTCCGAGCAAACAGCAGGACGCTCACCTCCATCTAACACAGCAACCCCACCAAGCTGGGCGTCCCACCCCTACCTCTCCTCCTGGAGCGTCTTTCAGCACACGCCAACCTCCTGCCTTACACAGAGCTGGGAACGACAAGAGCTGCTCCCAATGTCCTTGTCCCTGCGCCGGCAGCGGAGACACGCTCCGTTCTATCCGGGTTTAACCCAGCCGTGTCCTTGCTGACTCCGCATGCCCCATTCCTGGCCCCTGTGCTGGGATCTCCCAACCCTCACAGCGTAACAAAAGCAAGCTGTGGCCGTTTGGCTCGTTATTCCTCCCCCCAGGTGCTGCGATGTGAAACACTGCCATGGTCAGTGCGGGGCTGAGACCTCCCGCACTCAGTGCATGCCAGTTGGATCCACCACAGAGCACGAGGGCTGGAGAGGCTGCAGCCCAGCTCTCAACTTGGCCGTCCCCCCACTTTTATCCCCCCACCTTTATCCCTCAGCCCCGCACGGCAGCCTTTAGAAGGAGCCCCATGCGTCGTGCCAATGGAGGAGCCTACCCTACAGAGCTGAAGGAGAGCAGTGACGGAGCACACAGCCATAAAAGAGGATGGATGAAGCCCCTACCAAAGGCCTGCCCTCACCTGGGGGTCCCACCACGTTTCCCCCCCCACACACACCTTTACACCCCCAGCTCTTTACCTGCACCCAGCGGCCACCACGTCACTTCGCTCGGGGCTCGTGGCAATGGGGATGAATGGATGGATGGAGGGATGGATGGATGACAGCACGGGGACGACAGCAACGCGATCCCTCCCTCCGGAGCTCACGTCCCGTTCCCCCCCCCCTCCCAGCTGCCCACGCAGGCACGCACACGGCGCACAGCAGCTGCGGCGCTGGGAGGAAGAGGAAGGAAAAAAACCCTTTGTGCGATTTCGCCACGCTTGGCGGCTCCCCCCCGCTCACGATCGCAGCCTGCACCCCCTCCCTGCCCCCTTCCCAATCCCCCCCCCTTCCCCTCCTCGCACAGCCCGGCTGAGGTACGATGCAAAACCCCTCCTCATCCGAAAGGGTTTTCCCAGCTTTTTTTTTTTTCCCCCGCCGCCTTTGGTTTATTTTGGGAGCCCTGATTGCGTTACCTGTGGTTGCTCCGGGAATAAAACAGCAATGAGAATGGGAAAGAGAAAAAAAAACCCAGATAGAGGAAGGGGGGAGCACAGTGAGATATGGGGATGGGGACAGGCACGGGGCTCCATCAGCAACGTGAGACCCCACAGAGGGATCACCCCAATGGGACATCACATACCCGGGGGGGATATGGGGAGGTTTTGAAGCCCTATGTGCCTGCACAACACCCAAGGTCCCATTTAACCACCCCTTCCCTCTCCCCCCCGGGAAGGGGAACCCCCACTTCTGCATCACCCCACCCAAGCCCAAAGCAGAGCCCACACTCCTGTGGCAGAGCATCCCATGGGCACTGCAAACCCACTGCATGCTATGGGGAGCAGAACCCCCTCCTGGGGGGTTGGGCATTGATCCCTCCTGCCCCAGAGGGGAGCAGGGATGTTGGCCATCAGTGGGATGCAGCTTCAAGCCTGCCCGGCCCCATGCTTGGGGGGACTACAGCTGTCCCCCACCTATAGGGGAAATGCTGTGGCTGTGACAAAATCCAGGCTCAGTGGGAAGCCGAGAGCATCACTAATTGATGGTCTGCTGAGGATGATTATTGTAATTAACTCAGACGTCAGGAATTGCAAGTGACATGTAAAAACACAGCCCAGATCCTGAATTCTTTATATAACAGCATCAGGAGGGCTTTACTGCCTTCCACTCGCCTGCTCCTGCTGCACTGGTTTCCATGGGGTGCTTGTAGGGATCCCATGGGCACCCACACACCTTGGGGTGCTTGCAGGGATCCCATGGGCGCCCACACACCTTGGGGTGCTTGCAGGGATCCCATGGACACCCACACACCTTGGGGTGCTTGCAGGGATCCCATGGGCACCCACAGACCCTGGGGTGCTTGCAGGGATCCTATGTGCCTGCAGCACTGCTCTGCCCTCAGGTTTGGGGGCAGTCAACTGCTCCACCCCCATGTTTTGGGGATGAGGGACCTGGGGGTGGCTGTGGCTGTCACCCACCAGAAGTGCCCTATTTTCCTCCCAGCTCAGGAGTGCCTCTTTCATGGAAGAGGCTATCAGGCAATTTTTGCTCCATGCCCACAAGCAAAACACCATGCAGGGCAGCAGGGCTGTGCATTGGGCAGGGGAAGGTGGTGACAGCTCCGGAAGGCAGGCAAGGTCTCAGGGGCAGGAGGATGTGATGCAAAATCCTGCTGCAGAGACTGGGACAGAGTGAGCATAGGAGGAACATGACGATGTGCCAGCTCCAACAGCACCTGCGCTGCCAAGGATGCCCCAAAGCTGGCCCTGCATGCATGCAACCTGTATGGAGCCATTGTGTTTGCACCCAGCTAGGAACCAAATCCTGCAAAAAGCAAACAGCACAGGGCAGCACTGCACCACACATTATACTGCATTTCCAATACCCCCCAGCTCAATGCAGCTGCATGGCGCTCACCCTCTGAAAACGCACAGCCTGAGGGGTTCAGCTCAGATTTGCAAGGTGAGGAAGGCGTCAGGTTTGTAGGTTGCACCCAGCAGCATCTTCCCTGGCTTTCTCCCAGCCCAGAGCACAGCACAGAGCTGCCCCTGTCCCTTCTGTCCCTGGGCCCCGAGCACCTCTCAGCAGAGCCCTCCTCCCCAACACAACCGCAGCACCGTGTTGCGACACCGCGCATCGTTGTGACACTCCAACCACCTCCATAAGCCGTTCTTCCAGACGGGCCCCTCTGCAAATCCCTCCTAATCCAATCTATTCAGTGGCACTAAGCTGCACCCTCCCATGCCCGACGCCCTTATATTGGCACAACAGTTGGGAAAATCCTCTTGGTTCCTTGTTTCTGGGAAGCTCAACCTGCAGCCGGGTGCAGCACAGCGGTGCAGCATTGCAATTTATGCATGGGAGGAAGAGCAGCTGCTTATATTGCCTTCGTGCAGGGCTGCAGATGGCTGAGCTGCCCTGTGCTTGCATTCTGCATCATGCCTGGCTGCTTGCAAGCACAGTGCACGAAAGCAGGAGGCCCGTGCACGCGCTGCATTTGCACGGTTGCATTGCAATTGTGCACAGTGCCGTCAGTTGGGTCCGTCCTGCTGGGATGGACAAAGAGCAAACACAGAGCACAAAGGTCTGTGTTCAGCACCCTGCTATGTGACGGCAGCAGGGAGGATCCCAGCAGCAAGATACACCTCTGCTGTGCAAACCCAGTGCTGGGACGTGCCATGGGCACTGCGTGTCATTGGGGAGGTGCTGGTGGTGGAGCAAGTCATAGCTATGTGTCCTACAAAGCCCAGCTCTGCTCTGCAACGAATGCCCACAGCTGTGAGATGCCCTGTGTGCTGTGTCTATGAAATGCACACACATTTCTCAGCCCTGAGGAATAGGGAGAGGCCCAACGTCGGCACGAGGTGCAGATGGAGCTCCGGTGTTGGAAACCCAACGTAAAATAAAGCAAAACAGGAAATAGCTCCGTCAGCAGGGAGCTGCATCCCTTACGGCTTTGAATTCAAAGCTTCCAAACTCACCAGCTCCACACCCAAACAAGAAGAAAAAAGCCCTGCCAGCGCTGCCCCCAGCGCCCCATGCAAGGATTTGCTCTTTACCTGGAAGCACATCCCTGAGCTGCTCCTTCCTGCAGGCACAGAGCAGCATCCCCTGTGTCCCAAGGCGTGCAGAGCCTCCCTCCCCACGGCTGGTTCTGCCAGCATGTAATGCTGCAGCGAGGGATTGAAGAAAGGAATGAAAGAAGGCAAACAGGGCGGGTGGTGACGCAGCTGCCAGCAGCTCTTTTCCATCTCCACAGGTGCCAGCCCTGCTGCAGGGTGCTGCTGGGAGCTGCAGGACAGAGCCACCCTTGTGCCACCCTTGTGCCACCCTTGTGCCACCCTTGTGCCACCAAGGAGATGCAGATCCCGAGTTCCACATCATGCCCCCAAGTGCTAAATGCCATCCTTGTGTCACCAAAGGGGTGCCAACACCACGTGCCACCCCTGTGCCACCAAGTAAGTAACTCCAGAACCCATTTCCCCACCCAGGTGGGGATGCAGAGCCGGGGTGCCACCCCTGTGCCATCACAGTGCTATTAACACCTCGTGCCACCAAATGCCACGTGCCACCCCTGTGCCATCGGGGAGGTGACATCCTCCAGCACCCGTTTCCTCACCTACAACCCAGCCCCGCTGCCCCCCGTGGCTCTGCCCTCCATCCCTCCCTCTGCCCTCTGCTCCATCCTCTCCTTTCGCCACAGCACGGAGCGCACACCCCCTTCCAGCTCAGGGGAGGAAAAACAATATTAAACAAAAGAGCAGCTTTATTTCTCCCTGACATTTAATAACCTTCATCACCCAGCAGCTCAGCAGCACTTTCCCATCCACAGAGCCAGGAGAATGGAACGTTCTGCTTCTGTCGACAGCGAAGGAGGGATTTGCAGGGCTTTATATGAAGGCAAAAATAATATCACAGTGCCGTGCTGGTGCTGCAACTGAGCAGAGCTCACAGCTGTTGTCACCCTGTTGTAAAACAGCTGGAAGCAGCCCGACATCTGCATCCTGCAACGTGAGCCTGCAGTGGGATGGCAGCAGGGTTTGGGGCAGGGAATCCCAACCTGAGGTGGGGTTTTGCCCTCTGGGACCCTTCCAGCTGCACTGGAACAGCCCTGAACGTTTGTGAGCTCTGCAGCTGCCGCAGGAGCAGAGAAACAGAACAAAACCCTGAGGTCGGATCGCAGCCAAGCGCAGGGCTGGAACAAGGAAGAGATAAAATCCGCCTGCTGCAGAGCTCAGGCAAACAACTGCTTATCAGCGCCTCAAGGCTCCGGCCTCGGGGGGAGCACTGTTCCCTTGTGCTCATGTGAAGGTTTCTATTTTCGACCCTGCCACAGCCCTGCAGTGCTGTCCCTCCCTCTGTCCAACTCACGCTGTGCTTTAGGTGGAAGCAAAGGCCCTCGTGGCGGTGGGAATGTGCTGCTTGCAGCTTCCCCACCACCAACAGATCCCATATTTGCTGGCAGAGCTGCGCCTTGCATGCATCTCCACCACCACCAGCAGCCCAGAGCAGTGCAGAAAGGTGCAGAGGGCACAAAATCATAGAACCACAGCATGGCCTGGGTTGTAAAGCACCACAATGCTCATCCAGCTCCAACCCTCTGCTGTGTGCAGGTCGCCAACCAGCAGCCCAGGCTGCCCAGAGCCACATCCAGCCTGGCCTTGAATGCCTGCAGGGATGGGGCATCCACAGCCTCCTTGGGCAACCTGTGCCAGTGCCTCACCACCCTCTGGCTGAAAAACTTCCTCCTCATATCCAACCTAAACCTCCCCTATCTCACTTTAAAACCATTCCCTTGTCCCATCACCATCCACCCTTGTAAAGAGAAACACCTGCCCTCAGGTTTTGTCTGTGGGCACCAACCTGGGGCTGTGACAGTGCTGGGGAGCAGCCAGAACTGATGATGCTGGCATCCCAGGGGCACCATCAGGCTTCTGGGGTCTGTTTGAAAATAGCACATTGTGTTGAAAATAGCAGGATGAGCGAGCTCAGCTCAGTGCCAGCTGACACAGCTGATCCCTCAGACTGTGCTGCCACCTCTCCCAGCCCAAGCAGTGGTGGTGTGGGAGCACCGCAGCAACGCATTGCCCACTCTTATTTCGGGAAGCACCATTCCTCTTCTCCTTTAAGCCTATGGATTCTGCTGGCAGAGCCATGATGGAGCAATCCAGTGCTGCAGCTTACCTGGTCTGCAGAACATCCTCCCCCAAGGCACGGGCTGCACCCTGCAGGCTGTGCAATTGGAGAAGAACAAAGAGGGAGAGGGGAACTGCACTGCACTGAACTGAACTGCACTGCACCACTCAGCTCCACACAGGCTGCCTACAGCCACCTGCTTATCCCCATCACCTGCCTCCAGCTGCCCCAGGGTCAGGAGCATGTTTGCCATCCAGCTCCTCCTTGTTTGTTTTTAATTAGCAGCAATGCGAGCAGGGCAGCAGCAGCACTGTTGTGGTGACAGCAGAGCTGTGTGGGCTGTCACCCCTCACCCCCATGGGATAAGAGCAGGGGTGGGTGGGTGAACATGGGCAGGTAATGGGGTTACTGTGAAAGGGGCAGGGTTTGGGTAATGGGATGGGATGGAGAGACATGGGGTCGGGGCAGCAAGCAGAGGCAGCTGCGGGAAATGATTCCTCTCCCTCAAGGTGAGGGATGAGGAGGTGAGAAAACAGGGAGAAGCCAACTCCAGAGCACAGCACTGCAAAGAGAGGTGAGACACGAAGGGAGAGAAGGAGGAGAGTGACTCCAGATATAAATTTAGAGCAGCTTGCAGCCTGCTTGGCTCAGAGGCGACAAGAAATGTTTGCAGTGGGGAGGTGTTATCCCCAGGTACCGGAGTGACAGACTGAGATTGCTGGTGGGGAAGGGATGATGGCACAGAGCACACGGAGCATCAGGCATCTCCCCTCCACACTGGGGCTGCAGAGAAGGAACTGCATCAGGCTGGCAAACGAGAAGCTTATTGAATAATTCAGAGCAGCTGACGGCAGCAAACCCAGCACCTCCTTGACCTCCGCTGTCAGTGTTTTGTTTCTCCTCCCAGAAGTGTCATCTTTAGCACAGAGCTGCTCTCCATCGCCCCAAGCAGCGTCGTCCAGGTGTGGTAGTTTGCAAACCTGCACGCTGGGCTTCCCAGGTGCCCCCACCCTCACATCTCAGGGTGCAGAAGTGAACGGATAGCAGGGGTGGCCCAGAGGGTTCAGCTCATCCTGGGGATGCCCCAGATGCCCTCAGTGCCGTAGACATACATCAGGGTGGCGAGATGCAAACAGACGCTCGTTTCCCATGGCGTGCAAGGCCTCAGGATTGGAACATTCAGGTCCCGGGGGTGGCAAGATCCCAAGAGCACACGGTTATGGGATGCCCGGACCCGGGGTGTTTGTGTGCTGCGATGCCGATCGCTGGCTGCTCGAATCCCGGAGGCTGCGGCCCTTGGGGCGGGCGGCGGTTCGCAGTCTTATGGCGCCCCCTTGCGGACACGCAGCAATTCAGCCCCGCTCCACCGCTCCCCCCCCCCCCCCCGGGTCGGGGTTGCGCTGCGGCCTCCAGCCGCGCTCCCGGCTCCATTCTGGGTCACGCACAGAAAGTTAATTAACGCACGAATGTGTCAGCGGGGACGGCTGTGTGAGAGCAAAAGGCTGACAACTGCAAAGAGCCGAAGAGAGATCGCACATGTCTTTAATTAGCCGTGTAGAGCTTGCTACTAATTAACCTTTTGCATTAAGGATGAGGATGAGAAAAAAAAGCCAAGCCCTGCTGGGAAGCTGGGTGAGCAAACACGCAGTGAATTACTCATCGTCCTCCCAGCGGCACGGAGCGATGCAGAGGAGAGGAAAGATGAGTAATTCCCCATTTAGGTGGCTCCAAACATGGGGAACCTGGACACAGCAGCCACTGGGATGAGGAGCAACACGGGCACAGTCCTTCCTTTTTCCCCAGCCCCCATGGCAGCACACATCTCCCAGCAGCCAGAAGAAAACAGGTCAGAAGCATTGCATGGAAGAGGAACGGTGAGACCCAGCGCATCCTTTGTGTCACATCCATGCTGTCCTGGCTCCAGCTGCCACCTGCAGTCAGGTGCAGTCAGAGAACTGATTTTTCAGGCCTGTGGTTGCAGCATTAAAAAAGGGAGAGCCGCCTTTCTGGAACCAACAATCTGAGTCCTCATTAAGGTAATAAAGCCTTAATGGTTTTATGAATCAAGCCGAAGAGGAAGAAGGAGCATTGTCACAAAGGCAAACAGCCCCAAGAGGAGAAGGACAACGACCAGCTGTGACAGCACCCACTCCAGTGACTGTCAGCCCATTGCTGGCTCCCCCAGGGGCTGGAGAACTGGAGCAGGGCTGGCCCTGCCTGCCCCAGCTGGGTGGAAGCTGCTCTTGTTCTTTGCCACGAGGCGCTGAGCTGCCCGGCCCCAAGCAATCCCCTGTGTGAGTTGCTTTGGAAGGATTGAAGTCAGCATTTGGGAGCTGCACGTGGCTGCTGTTCAGAAATCTCCCACTTCAGAAATCACGTTTGTGATCCTCAAAGGCCAAACATACGCTAGGAGTTACTGGGTGCTTACTTGAGAGTGTTTTACTGCTTTTGTCTGCTGAGGGCTTGAAGGACTGCGGGACCGTATGCAGAACACACAGAGGAGGGGTCAGCTGAGCCTTTGGAACATTAACAGATGGCATCAGAAGAGGTCACACTCACAGCTGATTGCACTCGGGGACCCCTAACAACACAGCCCAGCCTGGACCGAACCGGTGGCGCTCAGGAGGCAGAGCCAGCTCCAGATTAAAAGCTCATGTGTGAACTTTGAGAGCTGACAGTTCAGTGCTCCGCTTCCAAGACTCGCGTTAAGGAACATCTGCCAAGAAAGTTTCCTGGCAGAATGGAGTCGTGGAGCTGGAAGCACAACATCCACTCCAAAAAGCAGCTGCCAGCAGCACTTGGGTCACTGACAGCGAGCTGGGGCTCCTCTGTTCAGCTGCACAGCCCTACAGACCCAAAGTCCAAACTGGACTGACTTACTACTTACCCAAATCTGGGTAAAGCAGGAGCTGTGTGTGGCAGGTGCAGGGGGGGAAGAATAGAAAACAGGCTGCAAGGAGCTGGATCCTGCAGCACGAGGTGCATGCTGCTCAGCAAACACACAGCAGGGCACTGTGCAGCAGAAAGGAGGGCCCCATCTGAGGCTTTTCTCTGGGACAAAACAGAAGCAGCAGACAGAAATAAGTTCACAAAACCTCCTTTTTTTATTATTATTATTATTTGAAATCAGAAAAGGCTCCTTGGGTGACAACAACCAGGTGTAAAAGAACCGCGTGGATTCTGCTCAGCTTTCGCGTCGCCGGGATGGAGGAGGCAAAGCGTCACAAAGTCACACCTGGATTCTGCACGCCTCGTTCCTCTCCAACCCACCAAGCAAAGGACAGCAGAACCCCAACCCGCAGCTGGGGATGCAGGCAGAGCAGCTGAGTGATTCAAAGCTCAGTTCTCACGTTCACGTGGCACGACAAGAGGTGCTGGATGTGCAGTGGCACCGTGGAAGAAAAGCTCACCTTGCCCCCCTGCACAGAGCTGGGTTCTGCTGCTTCACCTTCACTACGAACGACTTCAGAGAGACGTTTTGATGCTGAGAGCCTGCTGAATGAAGTGGTGAGTGCAGAACACACAGGGCACTCCTGCTTGGGGGAAGTAGGAACACTGGGCAACGAAAGAAAGGGCAGATTGCTTTAATTAAGCTAACGAGCTCCGCTGATCCGAGTGCTTTTTCTGTGAACATCCAGAAGACTGCAATCCAAACGAAAAGCTGTGATCATATGTGTTAATTCAGCACAAAGTCAGCAGCACTCACGTGCTATCTGCCACATCTCCAAAGTGTCACTGCCCAACTGCAAGCAACGCTGCCTGCCTGCCCTGCAGTCCTTTGGCAGCTGAGCACAACAGCTTCTCAGCCACACGAGCACCCAGCTACAAGACAGAGTTAATGTATCATCATTCCCTAAACTAGCTAGCTGAGATAACACACCCCATTTCCACACGACACCCAACACTCCCATTAAGTTTCACTAGTTTTTTTTAATTAATATAAAGCAATAAAAAGCCATCTTTCAAAAGCAAACACTGAGCCAGCTGCAGCCTTTTCCTGCTGTTTACACCTCCAAGCAAGCTTGCACGTGGATGTACCCTCTCCCCAGTACAACTTCCCTGTTTATTTGCCATCCATCCCACTGCACGGCTCAGTGTCACCATGGAGGAGAGCTGGCAGCCCAAGTTACAATCGCTTCCATCCTTTTTGCTCCTCCTGCCACAAAACAAACACCTGACGAGGCAGCATGGACTGAAATAGCACAACCACAGTGCTGTCACAGCGCATTTATAGCTGCGGTATCGGGCCCAACACAAACAAACAGGCTGGAGGAGGATCTCTGATGCTTGTGTTTTCCAGCTGGCCAAAGCCGTGTTTTGACAACACGCAGCACAACCCAGGAGCACAACGCGGTCTGAGCACGTAAGTCATTTGCTTCAAGTTCCTAAATTAGAGTTAATTAGACGCCGTGGCTACTGGGGCAATGCTGCTCTGCAATCTAATTGCAAGCACTGTGTTTGCTGCAGAACGTTTCCACCAGGAGGATTCCTATCCGGGCAGCTTGTTTTCCATGCTTCTCAGCATCTGGAGCCAAGATGCAAAGGCAGCCCTCCCTAAGATCTTCTTGCACAGAGTGAATAGAACCAGGGCACAGCAGCAGCAGTTTGTGACCACCCTGCCAAACGTTGCCACATCCCAACAGCCTGCCAGGCCTCGAGGATCAGAAGATGAACAGAGAAGGGAAAGGAGGAGCATGGATACAGAACTCGCTGTTTTCACTGCCTCTGCTCTAGATAGAACAAAGCCACAGCAGCTTTGCCTTTCATCAGGACTGGCACACTGACACTTTGAGGCCAGGCAGGTACACCACAAACCCACAGAGGCAGAGCTGACACGTGGAAGGCTCCTGCAGCACCTCCCAGCACGCAGCTCTCACCTTCAAAGGCGACGAGCAACAGCCATCCTGAGCGCCCTTGTGCAAGCAGCAAAACCTGGACCGAGCAAAGCTCTCCTGCCACCTGCTGCCCAAGGCAGGCTCTGGCAGCAAGGAGAAGTCGAGCTGCAGGTTACACCTTCTAAAAGCACTCTATGACACAGCAATGAATCGTATTTATGCTGCCTTTACACATTCAGCAGAGCCAACGCAGCAGGTTACAGGAGCA